CATACGGGGGTTTCGAATATTCTTGGTATATATAGATAAAGTGGAAGCTGCAAGAGGCCCATATAAGGCAGAGAAGAACTTAAAAGATTGGAGCAGGACCGGAGTGGTTAAAAATGATTCGCACGACAATACATTGGTAAGATTTTATAATGATTTTATACGATACTAGTTCACCATTGTTTTTACTGCTTAGTTACCAACTACATAATAGTGTACCTTATGCCCGTGCGTACAAATGATAGAGTTTTTATGAATAACCGATTTTTATTTTTTTAATGGTACCTAGTTAGTCAATGACAGTTTGCAGATATTTATTAATTACATTTCTGTTAGTTGTTCTTTGAAATTTAGTAACCTCTAGTTCATTGCTGCTACCTTTAATCATCCGGTTGTGAGAACGCTTTAATCTCAACGGCTAATATGTTCATGATTTCAGTTCAGACAGATCACATTCTCAATGTCTGTAGAAGCTTATCGGGTCCATATATTTTAATGACCGTTGTTGCAACCGGATGTAAAACTTGTTGAAAAATAATGATTTAAGTTCGATAACATTGGATTCCTTTTTTATCATAGGCCAACAAAAAAAATGTAACCAATACATTAACGTGCGTTAAAGCAATGCTGTTAGCGAAGCCAGAAACGACCATTATCCTGTTAGCTAGCGATCAATGACGAAGCTAGTGTTTGTGTTTCCGGACGGGTGCCAATTGAGCACTTTATTTACCCCAGGTAAAAATGTATAACGTTGCCGTACACGCCAATTAAGCACCAAGAATCAAACGGAGACCGGCCAATTAAGCAATTTACATTAGCAAATTACGCACTTTAATAATAGTTTGTTCATTAAAAAAACAAAACTTAACTTACCTAACCTGTGCGGCTTAGAGCAATCGCTGGTTGCTTCGCAAAAAATTAATATTAGTAATAGCCCTAAGCGTAAACATAAGGTTTACAAAATGTCCTATTAAAAAAATATTTCGTATATCAGCAGTGTTTTGTAGTTTTGAGAATATACAGTGTGTCCCATTAGTGCATAATTGTTCAATATTTCAATTTGTGTTATAGATTCGCAAACAAGTTTTAAATAAAAGTTATATGGACTTGAAAAATACATATTTTAAAAATATTTTTGGATTCACAGGGTGTTGCGTTTTTGCCTGGCAAATAAAAATGTATGTTTTTTTAAATTGAACACCCTGTATTTTATTTTATTTTTAGAATGGTTTGGTAATACTGTATTCAACCCTAGAATGTTTTTAAAAAATAGTACAGTGTTATACTAAAATAATATACTGGGTGTTGCATTTGAAAAAATTTAGTTTTTTTAGGACATGTTTCAAGACACTCTGTATAAAATAAACCAGTTTTATCACCACTATTCGTTAGCTTAGTATCTTATATTCTGCATTTTTTAGAGATCATGTCAAATTTGTGTGACGTCAGAGTTAAACGTACCGCCGCCATCTTGATTTTTTTTAATGGAATTGTCGGTCGAGTGATATATCAGAGAAAATCTTATTTTCCTCTCTTCAAGAATACTAAAAAAGTACCACAAATTACTAATGTAATATAGTTCTCCCATTCATCATCCTAAATTACCTTGTTGCTAGATGTTTTTGATACCATGTACTCGTATATATAGGATCAGAAAAACATAATGTAATACAGTCCCATTCATCACCCCACAATTTCATTATACATTCAAAGAAAATACCTTGTAGCGAGATTTGCGCTACCCTGTAGACCCATTGATACATAAAATCTAAAAAAAACATTGCGTTGCAGGTTCTTCAAAAGATTCACGAAAAACGTCCAAGAGGAAGGATCATCTTGCAAGATAACGCTCGGGCTTACACCGCTGCTGAAACAAGAGTATTTGAATGCCCAAAACATGGAAATAATGGGTCATTGCCGTATAGTCCAGACCCAGCACCTAATTACTTCTGATTTTCGAGGATAAAGCATAAATTACGGGGTTTACGTTTTACATCGGCTGAAGAAGCGGATGATGCCTTTAAAAATGAAATAAACAAACTATGGCCAGAAAATTGGAGAATATGTTTTCAAGAATGGTTTTCGCGAATGCAAAAGTGCATTGACTGTGGAGGAAAATGCTTTGAAAAATTATAAATAAATGTTTTTTATAAATAAAGTGTTTTATTTTACTAGACTCAACGGAAAGAGAGTAGCCTCGTACAAATCTTTAAAAAAACTGCTCAAGCCAATTTTATGCTGATGATAGCCTGATATAAAGGGTGTGTCATTAAGAATGGGACCCAGAACAACTAAAGATTCTTTGATTAAAAATAAGACTAATGAACGAAATATGCTTAAATAAAAGATCACTCGTTTCCAAAATAAGTTGAAAATTCAAAATGTATTAATGGCCCTAATTTTTTTATTTTTTAGTATAATTTTACTAAATTCCGCAAACATTGTTGGTTTTATGAAATATACCTATCAGCAAAAACTTTTCCAGTGGCGTACGGTATGGACATGTAACAGCATACCCTCTAAATTTTACGCCACTGCCCGAAATTTCTATGATTTTAATTTTTTTGATATTTTTTAAATAAACGATGTACTCCTGAACTCATAAAGTGACTGGTTTTCGAGATATTTAATCTCAAAGGTGAATATTCTTCATTTTACTTTTGTAATTATGGATTTTTTCATAAAATCCCAACATATAGAGTCCAAATAAGTTTTTGGAGAGTGGCGTACAATTTAAAAGATATGAAGGTATACTTACCCATGTAGTATGCCACTGGCAAAATTTATTTAAATGATTTTTTTCTAATACGTGTATCGTGATACCAAAACGATTGCTCAGTATAATTTTATGAAAAATAAAAAAAAAACAAAATTAAAGTCAAGAATATTCACCTTTGAGTGTAAATATCTCTTCACAACCTGTTTAAATATTGACAAATTCACGTTTAGAGAAAAAGTACCTATTAATTTAATTTTTTAAACAAAAGTAACAATCGGGATAGGTAGTTTTTTTTATTATAGAGTTTATAATACAGGGTGTCCCGAAATGTGTACAGAAATGGTTTGCAACTCTTCTCTTTCGTAAAGTACTTGCATTTCTGTTTTTAGACGACTTTTTTTCTAGAAATTGATATGCGTTAACTGTATCAGAGAGCAATTGATCAGAAAAATGTTCTTTCATGAATGATGCGGTAGCTATCAGATGTCTTGTGAAAGTGAATCGTGTCCTAATGTGTTGTATAATGGAATCGCAAACTTCCAAGGCTTCTATTTTTCTATTTGTTGATACAGATAGATCGGAACGAGGGTAACGTCGCCTTTTCTGAGGAACAAGTTCATCTTCGGTTTCTTAAAGCTTCGAGTCTATTTTGTCAATAATTTTATCCATTTCATTACGAATTTTTTGCATTGCATTTTTAAAGTTTTTTAGATCTTGTTTAACCTTGATAGGGTCGGTATTAATCGTCTGCAGTTGCTTAAAAATTATTTCGACATGTGGCATGACTTTGAAAAACTGTTAACAGAAATATGAAATCTCTGTCCTGTAATCTAAGTTTATAAGCACTTGTTTGCTCAATCGTAGAATTTAATTTAATACCTTTGTCGTTCTCTAAAATATCCATAACGTGTATCAGTTCATTTCGGTACTCATAAACTGTATTAACTCCTCGCGATTGCAAATTCCATCTCGTTTGTGATGAGCGTGGTAATCGTCTATGAACTATATCATCCAATACTTTTGTTCTTTGAGGTGATGTAGAAAAAAAGCACAAATTCCAGTTAAATGAGCGAAAAAAAAAATCCGAACACGCATTAATTGAACCTGCACTGCTCATTATAAGGTTAATCTGATGTGCAGCAATGAACATAATTTGCTAAAGAATATTTATATTTAATTATTTTTTGTACCCCATTCATACCTCCGCTCATGACTGACGTTCCGTCGTAACTCTGCGCGATCAACTTATTTGGTGTGTCATTAATTAATGGATTAATTTCATTTAAAATGCAATTTGCTATTGAAATAGAATAATGACCAATTGAAATTCGTTAGCAACATCGGTAGTTTCGTCAGCAATTAAAGCTACATAATTTCTTTAGCCACTTTTTCATGGCAAAAGCCAAGCATGTAGTACAATAGTTCGTTCTGTATGGTCTTAGAGGTCCCTTTAAATACTGTTGCTTTGTTGAAATGTTCCTTTAAATATGCATCTAATTCAGAACTAAAATCTATCAATTCTCGGAACACTCCTTTATTTTTGGAGAAAAAAAAAAAAGAAATATTTTTAGAGACCGAAATATTTACAAATTTTGCGACAGTGTCAAGGCCCTTTGGCCCCTTAGGACAAGCCACCACTGACAACATTTACTTGGTTTAGATAAAAAATATCACTTACCCCTCTCCAACCCAATATGCCATATGACATTATCGATTCTATTAAACAATGATATATTATTTTAAGATTGGGCAGATTTAAAGAAGTCTTTTAAATACTTAAATTTTGATAATCTTCTTACTTTTTGTACAATTTGTTTTATTTGTATGTCCCATAATACCTAGATATTTAACTGAATTTGCTTCCGAAATTTCACAAGCGTACAAAGTAAACGGCAAATAACATGTCAGCCAATTTAAAATTTTTGGATAGTCATTTTCTGTTTTTTTTTTTTTAGATTTTGCCAAATGGAAGATTTGTACAGAATAACAGTATCATCAACAAAGCTCAAAATCTCACTATTTGAGTTGAGTTCTAACATACTGTTGATGTATAATGTGAACGAGATCGGTCCCAAAATAGTATCTTGTGGTACACCATAAGTTACTTTCTCTCCATTATAATGCCATCTAATTTCCTTCTAATAATCACGAATTATTATATTATTATAAATACGTTTTTTAGGATTGGGTGATCGAATATTTTTGGTTCACAAAAAAAAATAATGTCAACAGGAAATATTGTAATAATTAAAAAAAAAATGTATACATAAAAACGCATTTTTATTCCAAAGGTAACAAAAATAAAAAACTATTGGCTTATTCTATAAATATGCTCCCCATCCAATATACATTTGACAGAGATTATCAACACTCACAGCTTCTTTTATCAGATAATTCGTTTGTCCTTCAACAGACAAGGGCATCGTTAACGTTCTATTTCTAGTTTTTACAATTCCTTGAAGCCTAAATTCTATATTTCTTATGTGATCCACAGCCTAAAATAAAACGATAAAAATATTCTTAGATATATTCTCCTTTCACGATATTGTATATATCAACTTTTTTACTGTACAATTGAAGTGTAGTCACAAGAATTTTTAATTATTGAACATAATTAAAAAATAAAAACTTACTTCCTCATTTGTTCTTTCAGCATTGTGAACACTAGGTAACGAAGATGGTTGCCTAGGCCAAGATACCAATGGATCATACACAAATGGTGCTACTATTGACATTAAAGTGTTTGCATTATTTCTGAGAACTCGTAATGTACAAGCACAAGATTTTCTAAAGATTCCTTCAACACCCAAAGGTCCCATTGCTGACACCATATTATGGGTTAACCGAAAAGGTACTCGTTCAGGAACTTCCAATTTCTCTCCTAAAAAAAAACAACAACGTTTGAATTATAAAACATACAATGATAATACCATTTCTTAATTTCCAAAGAACATTTTTACCATTTGTATACCTTTATTAAACAAACAATTAAAGTCCACATGAAAAACATCGCCACAAGTTGAATCCAAATTAATATTTTCACCATGTCTATCTCCTAAACCAAGGATGTATCCAGCCATAGACATTACAGCAGTTGTTCGAACATAAGCTGTACGTGCTGTCAACCAAGTCTAAAAAATATAATATGAAAATATAACTATACTAATATTCTATTTTATATTAAAGCATGAGGTGAAATGAAAAGCTTATTTAAAGTATGCATAGTGTTAGAAATATCTAAGATATTTTCAGTTTTATATTTAAGCCATCATCGGGACTTCGTCAAAAATAGAAGAATTGGGTAACATCGGCACCTACTGGTCCACTTGAAATGTTTTATATTACCTGAGCATCAGGAAATGTTTTTCTAAACCAATCTCCTAGCACGGGGGGATGCCGAGGTAATAACTTTTTTATGAAGATATCACGCTTCTTATCCAAAGAATCTTTAACACCACAATTAAACTCTGCTACCTCTTTAGGTTTCATAAAACAACCTAAAAATTAAAATAAATACATTTTGTAAACGTTAACGTAATTCACCCTAAAACTTATTACCTCTCTGTTTATATAATGCTATTAAAATATGTCTAAGTCCAATAAGATTTGGAACCCACTCTATTAATCCACATTCTTCATTTAATGGAGCTACAGAGTATAATCTTATGTTAAGACGTCTTTGTCTAGCTTCCCCTTCTCTAGTCAGCAGATGATTAACAATATCATTAAATTCCATAAGGCGGAAATCTCTTCTAAGATCATCTTTTGGTTTTAGCATAAAAATGTACCTTAAAACAGATTATTGAATGAATATTTGAAAACACATCATGAATTACATTTGCCATGTCTAAATAAAAAATAATTTGAACCTCTTATGAATATTTTTAACTTATATTACTATTTTTTATGTTTAAAATAGTGTGATTGAATTAGGGATGTACCGGAATTCCGGCGGTACTTACTATGACCGATGCGGCAGAAATTTTCGAAAATTTTAAAATAGGTTAAATATAAGCAAAAAACAAGTAAAACATTTTGAACTTTATTAAATTAAAAGGCGTTATAAAGCAATGTTTGCAATAAAGCGAAACAGAATAAATTAAGATCCTTTTACAACCTACAGACATAGAGAAACATTTTGTTGAATTAATTGGTGAAATTTTTGGTGATATTGTTAACTAGTTTGAAGTTGTTTTCGGCCTGTTGCCAGTTTTAGAAATATATTGAAATAGAACTGCAAAATTTGTGAAAATTACGGAGTTTCATATTATAGATAGATAAAATTTGTAAAATAACGTTAGCTATTGGAATACTTTCGTATAGGTCCCGATCCAGCCAGAATACCGGCGGTCCGCTCCGACTAGCGGCCGGATCGATTAAATACCCCATCCGGTACACCCTTAGTTTGAATTTCAGAGAAACAGCTACAAAATATTTATACAATACGTTTACTAACGCATCTAGTAAAATAAATATGAGACGCTTAATTATATTTGGACGTGAGTAACATAAAGAGAGTAACTTGGTTTACCTACGCCCTTTCAAAGTAGGGGATATTACGGTCCGCAGTCGCCGATGCATTATTCTATTTCTGTCTATTCAATACCATTGTTTTTCTATACCGTTCTCTTGGAGTCAGTATTGGAAAGTTAACGATGCCTATAACGACCCTTCCAATCCTATCTTCTTAAAGAAGTGCAGGATTGGGAGTGGCTTCAAGTTAGGTAAATCGCCCTCTTCTATGTGATATATTTATATTGTGCCCTTGGGTTTTGGAGCGCTACATTTCAAAATATTTGATTCAAATAAACATGCTTTCTTTTTAAATATGTTTTAATTAATATGTACTATTGAACCACCTTGTATAGGTTATATCTTATATTGTTGAAAGCATTTTTACTAGCTATTTTTTTTTTGTTGGAGTAGGTAGCATAAAGAGGGTTGATGGGAACTAAATTTTGTATTTTCTCAATTTAAGTTTCCCTTTACTATCTTTAAAACAGTACATATAGATATAAGTTTTTTAAATTGTACTATTAGTAATGTTATACATTATGTTAAGTTTAGAACATCCCACTCCCGCGGTAGAGGTGTGACCAACTATGTTTTTAAACGTCAAATCACGCAGGCGGAAACTTGGACAGGCGAGTCTCAGACTGACTAAAATAAATTCTCCCAATAAATTTTAAAACGGTTTTATTTTATTTTAGAATTCGTTTTATTTCTTGAAAGTAGGTACCTATTTACATTTTTTGAATTAATTGAATGTCATTTATTTATAGGTACTTTCTAGCAAAAACTGAGCATTTTATTTGTAAGATATTACCGATAACTACATAACTTTCGCCATGTTAAACAACAAGCGACGTACACCCCAAAACAGTTTGTGGAGTCCAAATATAAGCTTTGTTCGGCTTACTTTTGAGGACGGTTTAAAATCGTTATATTCATGCGCATTTAAATTTACGTGTTCGGGTTTCTCCAAATCTAGTCCCAGGACACTCTAGGATTGACTGTTTCGTGTGTAATTTAGTGCGCAACTAATTTCACGCAGTTCTGAATCGTTCTGAAACGTTATAAAATTGGTAAGCCGAAAAAAGCTATTATTAAGCGACTTATCTTTATTTTTCGAGATTCCTAGGTCAACGTACTATATACCCATTAGTGCGTGGACGTCCAATGTGTTTTATCTCTATTATTTTTAAGTTATCATTTAAAATAAAAATTTGTCAAAGACGATCACTTTTATCGCCTATATTATAACAACAAAAGTTAAATAATATACTGGGTGTTGTAAGGGGTTTTCTCGCCACAGAGAAAACGGTTCCTTACGAATGGCGCTGGTTACGGGCGGTTCTCGAGCGCCAGATATTTGGTTATGGTTTACTCCACAAACTCTCGAAACGGCGTCGAAAGTACTCGGGTAGCTACAGATGGGGATGAAAAATTCCAGGGGTCAAAGGTCACTTAGACACAGGTAATAGTAGGCCACAAGTAACGGGCTTTAATCGTTGCTTGGGCTGGTACAGAATTTATCACTAGCTGAAATACAAGGGGGAAATAAAGTATGGAATTAGTAACCAGTAATACGGCAAGTTAACATTGACACATATATTGTTTTAAACTATTTACAACATAAAAAAAAGAAATTATATATTTCAACGCCCACCCTAGTTGCGGTGATAGTCAATATAACCCTGAACAAAAAAATAAAGAAACGAAACGGACGGTATTGAATCCCGACTAGTCTCAATCAGACGTCAAAATTGAATTAAAATAAAATGAATGTTTCGGTCGCAGAAAAAAAATTATTAACTTGGCTATTTAGTCGGTAATTAAACTATAACATAATTTCCCATATCGGTAAGCAAAAATTCTAAGAGCGGTCGTAGGAAAAATTAACTATTTAACTGTCGTATCGGGAATTAAACTAAAATGTGGGTATTTTACTATTTCGGTAAGGAAGAATTATCTAAACGGTCACAGGGAGTGCCAGGAGACAGGATCGCGAAAGAACTACTTATAGTAAATATACGGAAAGATAAAAAAAAAAGAATAAATTTATACCCGAGGTAGCCTATTATCTCAGAATGAGCTGATCGTCATCACGAGCCCGCTCAGACAGGGTAATGAAGCTATTTAAGAATACTGTGCTTTGCAATTTGCACGAAAACAATTAAGAATACAAAGGGCAAAAGAAAACTAACGCGGATAGCACCTAATCCAAGAATGAAGATGGTGAAAAAGAAAAACAAAACTATTATCGGAGGGAAGAAAACTACTAATGCGGATAGTACCTACTCCAAGAATGAACTGATCGTCATCACGAGCCCGTTCAGACAGGGACAGAATACTATTTAAGATTATGTAAATTTGCGGTTTACACATTAACTAAAAAATAACGCGGACAGCACCTACTCCAAGAATAAACTGATCGTCATCACGAGCCCGTTCAGACAGGGGCAGGATGCTATTTAAGATTATTTAAATTTACGGTAAAAGAATAAACAAACTATTTTTTAATAGGGAAAACATCTCCTCGACAACTCCGTTTCTAAATATTCCCAACTTAGTTACAACACGGCACTTACTAAACAAAAGTATTTATCAATAAAATCAAATTTAATTCCTGATTTAACCTACCAAAAAGAAAAAAAATAATTTCTTAGTACAGACTAACTATCAAAAGTTTATATCACCGGTATTACAATGTTAAAGAACTAAACCCTATCATTTATTATTTAAATCATATTCAATTCCCTTGAAAGAAACGGTATTCTATCTTCAAAGAGCCAACTACTAATATTTATTAATTAAATCAAACTAAATCTTTCTCCCAACAATATTTATAAAAACGGAATTATATTTGCCAAGAAATAAATTCTAATATTTATTAATAAAATCAAATTAAATCTTTTAACTCAACACGGAATTAAACTAAAAGATAATTCGGTTTTTAAATTAAATACGGTCTCAATATAAAACGTTTCTTCTATAAAAATATGAACGTAAAAACGAAACACGGTTTTTTACCTAGCGGATTTATAAACACGGAAAATGTATCGACGGCGGACTTAGTTGAGAATTCGACTATTACTCTGAACTGGCTGAAATCAAGTGTTATTCGGAACTGAAATTTTTAATTCAATCTCGGACCTGGGGTAGTATTCTCGAATCACGAATACTGACATTCGCATACGTGTTTTACAATGTGTCTCACTTTGTTGAACGAAAACCAAGTGAGACAAATCATAAATCTCGCATGCGAATCTATATTCGTGACTCGAGAATACTACCCTTGGTTAAAAAGGTTAAAAAGCACCCCAAAAAGATTTTTATTTTTTTATGGGGAAACGGCGATTTGTGCCACATTCTGACTAAGTGGGATTTAATCAGGTACTTCACGACTACATTCACTGAAAATTTCAGTTTTCTAAAACCCCGGCGTCATAGATTTAAACGCACCCCTAAATATGTATTTTTAACAACCATACGAATTTGGTATGCGACATTGGCCGTGTGCGACAATTTTCATGCGAGACTCGAGAATTCTACACCTGGTTCAATCGTCGCTTGCCCTTCCATAGCAGAAACCCCACCAACGGCAGTACTACCGCGGATCGATATGTCGATCGGCGATGCGCATTTGTCTTAGCTCAGGACCAACATTTCAATCGCGTTTAATATTTATTAATAATGAAAAATTAAAATAAACTGATTGAGGAAAAATTGACTTCATTACAGTGTTCAAGTTGAAAAAAAAAAACCGCTTGTACATAAAAATTAACTTTTGATCCTCTTAGACGTTTAAGTTAACAGCAAACGGGACTTCAACGAAAAAAAAAAAAAAATGTGAGGATTTTCTAATTTAAAATTGTATTTATAAGCGCGCCACTGGGAATGGCGAAGTATTTCCAGTTATGTGCCTCGAGAATATTGAAAGCTATATATTTGTGCAACGATAAGGTAACACTCTACAGAGACATTTAAGAAAAAAGATGGGAAACCCTTTCATTTAAAATATATTAGATATTTATTAAAACAAAAAGCAGCAAATTTTCATAGATTTAATACAGAATGACGCATAATTTCACCAAAATCGGACTAAAAATAAAGGCTTAGAAGGAATTAGTAATTTTCAAGGTATTCGTTTTGCTTTTTGCCATAAATTGCCAACGTCGCAGAACTTAGTATTGTAACCAGTGGCGCCTCGTTGGGGGTTCACAATGACAGAATATAGATCTCAGTAGATATTTATGTTAAAAATATTCAATGTTTTAGGAAGGTA